ATGACAACGCTCCCTGGTCTCATACAATATAAAATATTGCAACTGAAAAGTTGTCCTTCTCTGCTTTAGGTTCCCCTATGAGAGTAACCATAGGATTATCTTTGGAAACTTTGTCACGTTTCTGTTTTATTTTTTTTTTTAAGATTTTATTTATTTATTTGACAGACAGAAATCACAAGTAGGCAGAGAGGCAGGCAGAGAGAGAGGGGGAAGCAGGCTCCCTGCTGAGCGGAGAGCCCGACTCCGGGGCTCGATCCCAGGCTCCTGGGATCATGACTTGAGCTGTTTTAAAGAACAAAGACATTTCTCTGACTTCTGGGATGCTAAACCATGCGTATGCCTTTGGTTTATCTCAATCTCAAAATGCTAACCAGTGTCACTTTAGTTTTAACTTTTAATTTTCATAGGACTTGTAATCTGGTCCAGTAGGTTTTGGAGGCAGCAAATTACGGCCAGCTTTATAATTTCCTTAAAAGGATATGATTGCCTCTTAAAAGCTTTTTGCTACTGTGGCTCAGGACCATTGAATTAGCCATAAATCTTGCATGCCCTTTAGATGACAATGTAAAACAACAATACAGTTGGTGCGAACAATAGCTCATAAAGGGTAAGTAATACTGGAACCCTACTGGCCTTGACATTCTGACAGAGCAGGATACCCTGAGGAAGCCCGGATGGAGCCAACCTTTATTGGCCCATGGGGAGGAAAAGAATGCAGGAATGGCAAAGTCTGAAGGAGCCATTTCATACACGACAAGAAATATTAGAGAAGAATAAATAAAGTCACTCTTGAGTCCAGCTTGTAAAGTGATAGTTGAGATCACCTCATTTATGGCAAGTGTAGGTTGAATTTGCACTTCATTTTTTGATGATTTTTAAGAGAAGATAAAATACTGTTATATAAATTTTTAAAAAACTAATTCAATTATCACATCTTGTAAAAAGTGAAGACTAAATTGAGACTAACACACAAAGTGTTTTGAAAAAAGGTATTTTATAGTCTATTTAACTTGGAACTTTAAGATAACTTTTATATTCATTTTAACTTCAAAAATAGTTAAATGGGAGAACATATGATAAAACAGAGGTGGATAAAGACATCTATGCATCTTATTATTGAACTAACTTTTTCCCCAAATTGAGACTCTTAGGAGAATAATTAATTTTTTAGCACCATTGTTACACACTATTTACAATCGATTTAGCACTGTGTTAATTTGAGATCCAGTAGTAAAGGGAATATGTTTGTCTGCCTATAGGTTAAACTTCCATCAGTGGACTTAGGCACTGGAGTAGTTCATGTCCCTTGTATTAGTTTCTTGTGATCACCCTTGCAAATTGTCACAAACATAACAGCAGTTTCTTCCTTCGCAGTTCTGGAGGCCAGAAGTCTGAAATCAAGGTATTGGCAGAGCCACACTTCCTCTAAAGGCTGTAGGGAGGGATCCTTCCTTGCCTCTCCAGCTGTTGGTGGCTTCTGACCTTCCTTGGCTGTGGCAGCATAACTAATCTCTGTCTTTGCATGACCTTTTCCCTCTGTCTGTGTCCTTTTCTTACTCTTGCAAGGACATTTTCATTGGGATTAGGATTAACCCTAATCCAGTACGATTTCATCTTGAGCCTTAACTGTTATAGCTGCAGAGACCACATTTCCAAATAAGGTCGCAGTGTGATGTTCTGTGTGGACAAGAATTTTGGGGATGATATTATTCAACCCCATCATAATGATTATAAATTAAATCTTCCAAAAGGTAAATTAGAATCTTTTGGAGTGCTCTAGATTTTCAGGACTCCAGGTCACGGCTTAATAAATGTGTACCCCATCATACTTGACGGGGTTCTTGGGATCAGGAGGAAAATCAATTTTGAATTACAAATAATAAAAACATTAGAAGCAAACATTCCCTAAAGTAATGTTTACCTTAAGAAATAGAAATAGAGACCCAAATTTCTAAAATTAGGCCAGAACTGACTCATAAAGGGATCACATATACATATTTTCTTTTCTATTGACTTTTTCCTGAATCTTCATGTGAATTTTTAATTTTGATTTTAGGAAGAGTTTGGAGCAGATGTTTGAGCCTTTTTTTGTACTTAAGTAGATAGAGTAGAAAAATGACCCAGTGCAGATTTTAGCTTATATGATGTCTGACTACCTGAATGATTTTCAACACAATTATCAAAGTAGACTATTAATACAGTTCTTAAATACTGTATTTTATTTCTTAATACAGTTTGAATAGCACACTAGTAATTTCTAACGTTGATATTTAAAAAACATTTTATAGTTCTTTATTATATGTGTACTACTCAGTGTAAAGAGCCATGAGTATATTTTCCAAAGAAAAATGTTGGTAACTTCAGTCCTGTAGTTAATGCAGACTGTGTATGTCATTGAGACCTTTATGAGGTCAAGAATACCTGATCTGAGAGTTTACTTTCTTACATATTTTTATCTCTTCACTTACCTGCTATCTTACTTGGTTCCATTGAATTAGTACTGACCTACATTGGATGGTCTTTATATAATTGGTAATTGTACAGTTAACAAAACATAAAATTGTTTTACAAATTCTATTCTGGTGAATTCTAATATGCTATTTGTGTGAGAATGTGTATAAGAATGGGTCATATCCGTACTGTGTTTCTCAGATTGTCAGAATATTTCTCAGACATCAGAATTGAATACATTAGGGATGCCTGGGTGGCTCAGTCGGTTAAGCTGCTGTCTTTGGCTCAGGTCATGATCCCAGGGTCCTGGGATCGAGTCCCACATTGGGCTCCTTGCTCAGCAGGGAGACTGCTTCTCTCTCTGCCTCTACCTGCTGCTCTGCCTACTTGTGCGCTTGCTCTCACATGCTCTCTCTCTCTCTGACAAATAAATAAATAAAATCTTAAAAAAAAAAAGAATTGAATACATTAATCATTCCTAGATATTGAATTTAGGTACAGGTGTGTACTAAAATCTTTATATTTCTATAGAACTTTCAAACTGCTTTGCTACCTATCTATGAATAGAAGGAAATGGTGATCTCTGTGTGCTTTGTATATTCTGGTATCCTACACAGTGCTCAGTGTAAGAACTCTATGACAAATGTACATTCTTTCAATACTTGATGAATGAAAATCAGAAATGTCATTTTAGACATCAATGGATAGTGATGACTTTGAAGTCTCTGAGAAAGAAAACCACACATCCGGTCTCCTAAATGGAAGCAGTGAGGAAAAAGCCAGTGGTTGGCTCAGAGCTCTGTTTCAGGAATAAGATTGCCAGAACCTACACCAATTAGAGGACAACATCTTGAACTCCCAGAAAAAGCACTAGTATTTGTCAGGGGGTGATTTCTGGTCATGGATGAACCTTCGTCTTGGTGTTTTCTTTGGGGAGAAAGCCCACTTCAGAGACTGGAAGCCCACTCCTGCCATTGGGGCTTGGAGGGGAGCCCTCTTGTGCTAACCTGAGCATGATGCACACAGTCCCTTGTTATTCCCACAGCGGGGCAGCCGGTGTCCTTCCTGGTGCAGCCAAAACTTTACACTCCGTGCAGTGAGCTCTGATGAGTCCAGATGCTGGCTGTGTTCCTTACACATAGCATGATCTTTGCATTTCAACTGTTGGGGCCTTTGTTGTCAGGGCATGTCCGGGGTTCCGGAGAGTTTGTGTGGGTGCATGATGGAGAGGCCCAGAATCCAGGCAATTGTCTCACTGCCAGGACCAGACAGGCTTAAGGAAGACACTGTATTTATGTGTGTGTTATTAAAATCCCGGGGCAGGACGTCAGAACACCTATAGCACCGAGTGCCCCAATCCTTCCATTCAGTAGCTGCGATTTTTAGCAAACCACCGGTGAATGTTCTGAGCTTCGGTTTCGCTTCTGAAAGTCAAATCTTGGGGCATGAAACGAGATAGATTCTGCATTTCTGAGATGCTGCATTCGCAGTATGAAAGGCCCTCTGTTGCCTCGTAAGAGGTGGATGGACCACCCGGCAAGGAACAGCGAACAATTTCTTCATGATAGACTTTCTTGTGTAACAGACAAAGGAACAAACCCCATTCATATTGCATTCTCTATGCAACAGATTTGCTTGCCTAACCTAACCCTGGAAGGTAGACCCTACATCACTAGTGACAGTTCAGCTCTGGAAGGAGATCTGTATCAGCCACATCTTTTGCACCACTTGGCATCCTTTGACCTCCTTTTTCCGGATCCTTCGGCTGCCGGTGTTGTTCCAGCAGCCACTATGCAACCAGCTTTGCACAGACTTGTCGGACTCTCGGGATACTCAGTGAATGTGGTTCTCTTGTTCCTGCTGAGGTCCAGCGGTTTCCTGAGCATGGATATATGGGACTGGTTTGTGTCCATTCAAGCAAACTATTCTTTCCTGTTCTATTATCACTGTATCATGGGATCATAAGTAGGAATGACCGCTTACCAAAGCTAAATTCTCTAGACATGATGTTACACCATGACAAGACAAACAGGTTCTAACCTCGCCATTTCTAATACTACAGTAGCTTGGCTTTATTTAGGAACATGTTTCCTTCATTTTAACATTTAGTCTTATACCTGGTATCCCTCACATTTCCAAAGATCGCATTAGGCCTTTTGCTTTTGTGAAAGACCTATGTTGGTACCTGTTTTCACTAACTGAAAGAAATCTGAGGAGGATTTTTGCTTTTATGAAAAGGCAGAGAGTGAAAATAGCGTTCGGTGTCTGTTTCCCAGCGAGTCATTAGGGAGGTAGCGCTCACCCTGAGAGTGTCCACAGTGTCGCCGTCAAACTCCTTCCCTGGGAATTACACTCGGGTGCCAAACCGCCAGAACTTCAAATTGTGTCTGTGAGCATCTGTGCTTTATCTCAATTTAGTTTGTGCATCTGTTAGTGACATGTCTCCTAAAGTATCAAAAAAGCATAAGAGAGGTTACCTTCTGAATCTGGCAACACTCAAAACATTTTCCATATAAATGAATGATCGTTGCTGCTTTGCTCTAGGTTGTTTTGGCTTATGAAAGCTTTCACAGAACGCTCTACTTTCGGAGACTGGGGGAAGCTGCAGTTAGAATAATGCCAGGGTAAGCAACTTGATTTCATTTTGGGTATTGGATGTTAATATTATTACGTTATTAAAAATAATATAACATTTGTATTTTAACATAGTCATGTTTCTCAGTGGCTCCTTGGGGCTTTGTACAAATTTGGGGAAAGGTGGAATTGCTGAAGACAAGGGCTACCTAGTAGTGACTCTGGGACTGGGTCGTTGAATACTGTAGTCACTGCCAAGATAGATAACATCCGTTCGAGGACAAAGGGCAAATGCAAATCGAGAGAGAGAGAGAGAGAGAGAGCCAATCATAGAAAAGAAGAAATGTTTGTGCAGAAATAATTAGAGATCAGAGGACTCTATTATATTGAAATAAACTTGTGTATGATATCAAGAAAATTAAAAATAATGTGACTGTTTTCTGTACACAGTCACAGGACACAAACCATCAGTAAACTCATGTTAGAAAGTAAAACAAAAACACCTAAAGACTTGGAAAAGACAATCTAATCTAAGGTTATCTGAGATCAAGTCCCTGTCCACTCATGATTCAGCCTAGTTCAAGAAAGGTTTATTGAACCCCTACCACATACAACACATTAAGCTACACAGGAAGGGTGATGCAGATTAAATAAGTAATTGCAGACTTCAAAAGATTTACACTTTGAAGATAAGCCAAGCAAAAAATATTTGAAATACTAGTGGAACATGATAAGCACACAAGAAACACAGACACAATTTTATTTAACTTCCAAGTAAGATTAAATCAATTTTGTTGGGGATCAAAAATGACTTTGTGATAGACAAAGCCCCCCTTCCCCGCCCCTCCAGATTCACACACATATAAATAATTATTGCCAAAAAACATATGGAAACATATGTAACCTCACTTATAATTGAAGGAATATGAATTAAAAAAAATGTAGTGGGAAGAATTTATTTTAAATGCTTAAATTTATCTCTCTCTATGTCAGGTTTATGTCTCAGTAAGATCTACCTTGACCACCCATATAAGATAGGAGCCCACATCACTCTCTTTTCCCTTACTCTGAATTACTTCCTTCATAATTCTAACACTGTAAAGAATTACATATACATACATACTATATATATACTATATACATAGTATACTACTTGTATACCATATATAATATATAGTATTTTACAGAATTTATATTAAATACAAAATACATAAAATACAATTTTGTTTATTCCATAGATAAAATAAACTATAAACAAAGAAATAATAAATACTGTTTATCTCATCTGTGAAATGTGAGCTCAATAAGGGGAAGGACTTCAATGTATTCCATTCACTGCTATATCCTTAGCTCCTGGAGCAAACCTGGCAGAAGATGGATGCTTAATAAATTTCTGGAATAAAGGAAAAAATGACTGAAAGCAAGTCTTCAATTTTTTTCCTCTGCATGGAGAGCCAAAAGATCATAAGATCTCAAGATCAGACATCCAATTAGTGGGGAAAGGACTCTTGCTTAGATCTCTGGCATTTTCTAAGCCCTAATTATCAGAACAAGAGCACAGAGGGTTCTTGGGCAGTGGCCTGAGAAGTAATAAAATGATACTTTGCTTCTTACTCAGTATTTCCTGAAGCACATTCTCCTCAGAAACCTTACAGCAAGGAAGGTGCTGCCAGCAGAAGAGGATGTGGGCATTTCTCGGTGCTGCCTGAGATACCATCTTGGTCGTAAAAGCCTCCAACCTGCAACCCCCACAACAGCAGGTATGATTTTCAGGATCAAACTGGCTACGGTTGTTTTAACAATGCCCAAATGTGAGCAAGTAGACAGCATCACACTTGCCTAGTGGGAGTATAACTTGGCCTAGAGTTTCAGAAGTATCATTTTATAACATTTATCAAATGTCATTTCATTTTAGAAATTCCTTTTTCAGGAATGTCTGTCAGGAATCTGAGAAGGCAGTGTGGTGAAATGGTTATAAGCAGAGACTTTGTAGGTCAGAGGAACTGAGTCGGAGCCCTGCCTTCTGCACTTACTGGTTGGCAGGAGGCAAGTGACTTACCTTCTCAAGGCTGTTCTCTCCTCACATATGGAATGAGACTCATGACAATGAGGGTTAAATGAGGTAACTCGGGTATTTAGCCCAGTGACAGGCACAAAGTAAACAGTAAATAAATGATGGCAATTATGACTATGTTAGACGTGCACAGAGATATTAATTTCAGTATTACTTATAGTTGCAGAAAATTAGAATCCAGCTAAATATCAAGTAGTAGGGCACAGGGTAAATATATTTTGTCATTCATGCTATGGAAAACTATGGAGCAGTTAATGATAATATTTTGAAGAATATTTAATGACATAAAAATGTCCAATAGGGGGAAAAAAGCTAATGTGTTCCAATGATTACTATATGATACCCTGTGCTGGTTTTAATATTTTAAAAAAATCTACATAATAAACCTACAATATAGGTACAGTTTTCTCTATTTATAATTAAAGAAATTAAGTCCTTTGAGATTACATAGTTGGTAATTGGCAGAATTTATTGTTGAACTGTACTCACAGAGAAAACATTGGAATTTTATATCTGTATTTATCTATAAATGTATAGATATGTATATTTATATCTTTATGTGTATAGATATGTATGTATCCATGTACATGCATATATGTGTGTGTGTGTGTGTGTGTGTGTGTGTGTGTGTATGAACAAAGTTCTGGATGCTAAGATTTCAGGCAAGTGTTTTTTGTTTTTGTTTTTTCTTTGAGGAGGGAGAGAGGGAGCTGGGGAGGAGCAGAGGGAGAGAAAGAATCCCAAGCAGACTCCACTCCCAGTGTGGAGCCTGATGTGGTGCTTGCTTTCACAATCCGGGGATCATGACCTGAGCCGAAATCAAGAGTCAGACACTTAACTTACTGAGCCACCGAGGCCCCCCAAGTTTACTTATGTTTAAAATGCTTTTGTATTTTCCAAATTTTATGCAATAGATATATATTAGTTTGATAAAAGAAAAATTATGAATAAGTCAAAATAATAGAAAAGTCTTTTTAAAGGAGGTAGTATAGAGAGACTGACAGAAAAGAACATGGAAAACACAGAAAAGTTGGGCATCCCTGGTGTATCTGGCTAATCAGAGGAGTCTCGCGTTTGTCAATCAACATATAAGTAGAGGCAAAGTGGCTTTGAGTTTCTTGATCAAGTTTATGCACAAACAGTTCAGTTAGCAAGTATTTTCAAAGACAAGAGTAGTTTTCTCTGAGGTTAATCAGGTTAAAGAGAAATGACTTTCATTTCATTTATATCGGGTTGGAGGTTTCAGGATGACATATATAACATTTTTAAGGAAAGTGGAAATAGAGTGACAGTAGCTTTTGATAAAGAGGCACAACTGAAGTCATTGCTAAAAGGTAGTGAGTGAGTGTAATCTCTCTGAATGAGAAAGAAATGTCATCTTGATGAAAACATCAGCGTTTAGGGGAAATGAAAAGGAAAATGAGCCAGAGAAGGAAACCCAAAAGTAACTTTCATGGGAGCAAGGAAGATACTGTAGTCAAGAAAATAAGGAAAACATGATATGCTGTTGAGAGGTCAAGGAGGGTGAAGAGTGAGAAAAGGTAATTGGATTTGGTGCTTAGGATTTATCTACAGTTTCAAAACACTGGTGGCAGCAGAAGCTGGGTTGTAAACTGTTAGACTGTGTGGATGTGAATCAAGTTTAAGAGGCAGCTACCATTCAAGAGGTTTGGTGACTGGGAAGGGTTATTTCTATGGTGAAAGGATAAGGGTGTGAGGTACAGGGAGATAAATCAGCAGGAAAGAAGTTGTATGAGGGAGAAAGGCAAAAACGGCTGGAAAAATTCCCAAGGGATGTTATACAGAACGAGATCAAAAGTGAGTAGACTGAGTTACTTTGGCAAAAAGAAGAGGTATCTTTTCCCCCTCAGATAGCAAAGAGAACAAGAACAGGATTGCAAATACCCAGTGAGGTTTTATAGATTCTGTGAGAGATTAGGAAAATTGAGGAACCTTGTTTCATAGGGTCTCAATTTTCTTGGTCAAATGGGAAATGTGGTCCTCTGTCTAGAATAAAAGATAATGGGTGGGATTGGTTACTTAAGGATAGCAAAAAAGATGTGTGAAAATCATTGTGGGAAGACAATGCAGATCATTACACTGAGATAGATGGAAAAATTTCCAGGTAACAATGTGCCCATGTGATCTTGGAGAGCACGATTTTCCCTTTCAGATTCCTCAGTGTCTTTGGCAATACTCAGGTGCCTGGGACCTTGCTCAAGAAATAATATTCTTGAGCACTTATGGAGTGATCTGCAGTTTATAAAATTCATTTGCACGTCCTTTCATACAGAGTAAACTGGTAGTTGGACTTGATCAAGACAGGCAATGGACAGGGTGGGAATTTTCCTGTAATGTTGGGGTGGGCTGCCTTAAAAATGTTGCCCTCAAATGCACAGAGGAGCAATGAAACCATGCCAGTATGTGGGATGAGGAGACTAGAGATCATATGAGGTTAAAGGGCATATTCTGTAGCAACAGCAGGAAGTGTGGGAAGTTAGGATTTTGTGGTCAGAGAGAATTCTGTTTTGCTTTATGACATATATTATAAAAAAAAAGCTCCCAAACTTCTAGCTTCTTAACTCAATTAATGAAAAAAAAAGGACTTCTTTTATTGATTTCTGGAGATATTTTATCATATAAATAAATTATTAAATTTAATCAGATTTATTTTTAGGCTCTGAAATATTATTAAAATATCTTCTAATTTTTCTTTTATATAATAATCTGATATTTCTGGCTTCTCTCTGATCAAATAAATTACATCTATAGCTATATCTTTATTTGACTACATCCATGTCTATAGTTATGTGTATGTCTGTATCCCTATCTACATATCTATTTTTGATTGATTGGTCTTGCTTTAAACTTATACATTAACTTAGCTGGTATTTCATTCATTCATATCCATATTCATTGCATTCATATCCAGAAAGAAAGTATGAATTCTTTACTTCTCCAAACAAGAAAGAAAAATCCCCTAATATTTCCTATCATATGACTCATGTTTGATGTGTGTATGTTTTTTTAAAAATCTGGACACTTTATTAAGTTTTTAATATAATTTTAATAATTTGTTTTATTTTATTTTAAAATATTTTTATTTATTTATTTGAGAGAGAGAGAGAGAGAGCACGAGAGAGACAGAGAGCACGAGAGAGAGAGAGAACATGAGAGAGAGAGAGAGAGAACATGAAAGAACAACAAGGGACAGAGGGAGAGGGAGAAGTAGACTCCCCACTGAGCAGAAAGCCCAATGAGGGACTCATTCCCAGGACTCTGGGATCATGACCTGAGCTGAAGGCAGACACTTAACCAGCTGAGCCAATCAGGTGCCCCTCTAATAATTTGTTTTAGTTGATTTTGGGGGTTTTATAGATAAAATAATAATAAAAATGATTGCTTTTCTCTCCGTATTTATAGGATTTTTTTTTCATTTTCTTTATTTTATAACCAGAACTTTCATTTCTTCATTTATTGCAAAACTAGAATTTTAATCACAGTATTAATAAACTTAAGCTTATATTTTTATTTAAAAGAAATGCTTTCAAAAATGCCATTTCAGTATTTAACATAGGTATTCTTTATTATGTTACCGAACGTTGGAATGATGTATTGGAACTTATTAGAAAACTTCTCTGGCGTAGTTCTGTAATTTTAGGAAGCCCCTTCCAGCCAAGTAAAGCCTGCAAGACCGTGTGAGAGGAAAAACCTGGGTGATCTAGGTCTGTGTTTGTAGATCTGGCTCCTGACTCTCAGTCTGCTCATGCTTACTTTATTTCCACCACCCATCTCATAAATAGTAATTCTCATGTTCTGGTCCCTCTTGGTACAACTTTCTTTAGCACAATCTGCTATTGGCTGTTATCCCAGCTCTAATCAGCCGCCTTTATTCACAGACTCTGCAATTGTTTCTTCTTGGTTCCCTGTGCTCAGAAACAAACACATGTCTGCAACCTCTTCTGCAAGGCTCTTGGAATGCTCCCGTCAGTCTTCTCCTCTCTGGGACTTCTTGATGGGGTTTGGGCGAGTCTCAGTCTGTCCCTAAGTCTTTTCATCATCGATGACATTTATTATATTTTTGTCTTGTTGAACTAAAATGCTACTTAAAATGACTTTTTCATGTTGGGAAATTCTTGAATTTTTGAGATAACCACACTTAGTTAGAGTGGGTTATTTTATATGGTATAATTAAATTCTGTATGGTAGTCCATCATTTTAAAAATAGATTTTTCACACCTATGTTCATAAGTGAGATAGAGTGTTTTGACATTAAACAGATTTGGGTGGGAAAGACCACATTCATTTTGTGAAATAAATTAAATAATTTCAGAAATTTTCCTGGGATTTTAAGTGTGAATTATAAGGAAATCATCAATTTGAAAGCTTGAAAGCTTTCTCCAAAGGGCTTGTCAGGTTTAAATGACCTCCTTCCAGTGTGGTTGAGAGTAGTTCTTGGATGACTTTTTCACTTTGTTACTGAAATAATTCTTTGTAAGGTTTCTAACTTAATTCTGGAGATTTCAGATTAAAATTTACCAGAAGCTTATCATTCTCATTTTGATTTTCAAATTTATTACATTTTTGTTCATATTTAAAAATTTTAAACCACAAGTTTTCTATAAATTTGGTTGAATTGTCTATTAAATAATAAGAGAATGTAAATTTAAAAATTATTTTTAGTAAAAATGTTTTAACTGCATTTATTTATTTATTCTGTATTTATATACTATATTTATTCAGTATTTTCATTTTTTTCTAAATACTCTAATTTTTTTCTTCAATTCAATTACTTCATCGGGAAATATTTCTAAACATTTATAAATATTTTAACTTTAATTTATAAATTGATATATTGTAATCAATGCATTAAAAGTAAGAATTAATATACCCATAAATTATATTTGGACTTTTTTGGTGGCTTAGCAAATGGTTATATCATGAATATTGATGTACCCTTGAAAATAAGATGTATATTATATATGTGTGTGTGTGTGTGTGTTTATATATATATATATTATTGGTGGGGTTATGTAGAGTATAAAATCAGCCACAATATCTGGCTTACTAAAAGGTAACACGGAGGTTGCTGGGGGTGAAGGAATGTTTCCCAGAAGGGCGTAGGCCTTTGGAACGCCAAGGCATGCGGGTGACCGCTCTTCTCTTGGAATGCCTGGAGGAGTTGCCTTCCTGAAGCTTTCTTTAGCCCAAACAGGGACACTAGTGATCTAAGAGTTGTATGCATTTTCCCTTATGCTATGTTTCTTAGACCAAGCAGGTGGGCGAGCATATCTTATCTTTCCTGTAAACAGATCCTCCTAGTTTCAGTAAGACCCCTTGTCACATATCACGTGCTTGAGAAACAGTGATAAGGATTTGTGTTTATCTGAGGATCAATAAAAGCAAGAGCAAAGGAGAGCAAAGGGTCTTCGCCTCTCATCAGTGACCCCCTTGCTCTCTCCTCTCTTTCACAGCAAAGTTTGGGAGTAATCTTTCATCTGTCAGTACTGGGACTGCTGCCCATTCCTGGCATATTATAGTAGAAATAAAACTATGATAAAATATTCTTTTATAAATATGTAGAGTATACATTTAATAAAGTATAAAGTAGCATTCATGAAAACACCACACATTTTCTTCTTTGATGAGAAATGTTTAAAAACTGTGTAAAACTTATCAGACTTCCTGGGTTGTGAGGCAAAAACCTGTATAGCTGTCCTATGACTAGTAAATTTGTCAGAGTGTGAAGGCTCATGTTTTCTGCTATGCGAACAAAATAACAAATATCCCAATCACACTGGAAGAAAGGCCAACTTATCTTTTGCTTCTGTGGAAATGATAGTAAAAAACATTGCTATACTTGAAGAGTTCTGTATCTGTCAAAGAAGTTGAATTCATGAACATCTCCAAGAAAGAAAGCTTTGGGTCTAGATGGCTTCAGTGGCAAATTTTACCACTTAAAGAAGAAATAATATCATGCTTACACAAGCCCTTCTAGAAATATGAGAATCAACTCATTTAATGAGCTCAGCATTGCCCTGATTCTAAAGCCAAAGATATGTCAAGAAAAAATAAAAAGCTAAAGACCACTACCTGTTATGATCACAGATGCAAACAGCTTTAGCAAAATGCTAGCAAATCAAATAGTATAAAATATGATAGCATAGCATGACCGAGGTTTATCTTGAGAATGCAGGACTAATTAAGAACTAAAGAAATCAATCAATACAATTTATGTCAATAAACTAAAGAAGAGAAATCATACAACCTTTTCAGAAACATGCAGAAGAGCATTTGACACAATTTGAATCCTTTCAATGAAAAAACTCTCTGCAAACTGGGAATAACAAGGAAATTCCTCAGTCTGTTGAAGGACCTTGTTAGAAGAGGAAATTTGGACACAGAGAAAAAGCCACGAAGAGGACACAGTGACAAAGCAGCCATGAGCAAGCCAAGGAAGGAGGCCTCAGAAGAAATCAAACCTTCTGACATCCCGATCTTGGACTTCTACCCTTGGGAACTGTGAGACATACATTCCACTGGCTTACATCATCTAGACTGTGGTACTTTGTTATGGCAGCCTGAACAAACTAATACAGGTATTCACGAAACAAACAAACAAAACAAGACAAAACAAGACAAAATAAACAACAGCTAACTTCAAATTTAATGGGGAAGGATTGACTTACTAAGATTGGAAACAAAGCAAGGGTGTCCCCTTTTACCAAAATCATAGTGAAAGTCCTAGGCAAGGCAATAAAAAAAGAAAAATAAATAAGTAGTATACAGTTTAGAAAGGGAGAAATGATACTATCCCTATTTATACACCCCAGAATTAAGTACATATCCCTAGAAATATATAAAAAAGCTCTTTAAACTAACAAATGAACTTAGGAAGGTCACAGGATACATGGTAAATATACAAAAATAAATTATATTTCTATATATTAGCAATAACAATAGAAAATTGAATTAAAATAATACTAAAAATCTTTAAAAATACAATGCCAAAAAATAAAATACTTAGGTATAAATCTATCAAAATATATACAGAATCTGTATGCTGAAAACCACAAAAGACTGATGGGGAAATTATCAAAAAAGATGAAAATAAATAGAAAGAAATCTATGTCCATAGATTGAAGATTCAATATTATTAACATGTCAAATTTCTTTAAGTGATCTATAGATCTAATGCAATCCCAATCAAAATCTGAAACAATTTTTTTTTTTTTTGCACATAGTAATGAAGTGATTCCAAAATTTATACGGAAAGAATTAGAATAGCCCAAACAGCTTTGAATGTGAAGAAAAATGCTAGGAAAACTCACCCAATTTTAAGACTTACGAAAAAGTTACAGAAATCAAGAGTGTGTGGTATTAGGGTAGACAAACCAGAAGAGAGAATCCAGAAATAGACTCACACTGATTTTGTCAAATGGCTTTTAACAAAGGTACAAAAGCAATTCAATGGAGAAAAGAGTCTTTTCAACAAATAGTGCTAAAATAATTAAACATCCACAGGTAGAAAATCAAAAAAAGGAAAACACAACACACACAAAAACAAACCCCCAACAGATCCATGCCTTGCACTCGATACAAAAATTAACCCCAAACAGACTTAAATGTGAATATAGACTTAAATGTGAATCCTAGAATTGTTAAATTTCTAGGAGAAAATATCAGAGAAAGTCTCTGTGATCTTGGATTATTTTTAAAGAGTTCTTAGAATTAATTATTTGGTGTCTTTGTGATGACAAAAGCACAATTAAAAAATGAATGAGATAAACTTCATCAAAATTAAACATTTCTTTGCAAAAGTCACTTTCAAGAAAATGAAAAGACAAACCGAAGACAGGGTGAAAATATTTCAAATCACACATCTCATAAAGATGTATTAAGTATATATGAAAACTCTTAAAAGTAATATTAAGAAAACAAACACTCAATTCAAAATGGGTAAAAGATCAGATTAGACACCTCACCAAAGAACACACACAGCTGACAAATAAATGCATAAAAAGATTAGCAAGTAGAAAAATGCAGATTAAAATGGTAAGATACCACTACATACAGATTAGGATGAGAAAAACAAACAGATGGACAGAAAACTCTTACAAGTTCTGGTGAGAATATACAAGGGGAGCTCCCATATATAGCTAGTGAAAGCGCAAAATGAGAGACAGACATTTCAGAAAATAGTTTAGAAGTTCCATGTAAAAGTCAGTATATATATACTTACTACACGACCTAGAAACTATTCCACAGTATTACACTCAAAAGAAATAACTTGTGTTCCCATGAAAAGCTTTATAGGTATTTCATTCATAAATTTCCCAATTGGAAATAACCCAAATATTCTTCAAAGGGGAATTCATAAACATTTATAGAACTTCCACACATTGAAATACTATTGACCAATAAGAAAGAAAAAAAAATTACTGCTAAATATAACAACATGGTTGAACTTCAAATGCATTATGCTGAATGAAAGTAGCAAGACTACGAAGACAATATACTCTGTGATTCCAGTTTCTGGAAAAGGTAAAATTATGGGAAGAAAAAAAATGGGTCAGTGGTTATGAGGTGCTGGTCACAGAAGGGATTACTTGGGGCAATGGACCTATTCTGTACCTTGATTGTGGTAGTGTCAAACTCATAGAACTGTACATTTAATTTACATACACTGTATGGTGTATAAGTTAAAAATGAATAAAGCAAAACAAAAAATCATCCCTAAAGAGATGATCAAGAAGATCAGATATTAAAAAAAGGAATATCAGATATAAAATAAGAGAAAGTGTTCTGGAGGTCTGTTAAGTAATTAATAGAATTTTATGGGGTTTCTTTTGTATTTTTTTAAATGTTTTTGGTGTTAATTTTTAAAATTCGCTGTAATGATTTCCTTTTTCTCCACAAAAGAAAACTTGGATCAGCTTCTTGGTATTCAAAGTATTTTTATTTTAAAAAAAATAAAG